GGGCTAGGTGTCCTTGTCCAACTCATCTGTGCCCCAGGTCCCCCCTGTCCTGAACGTGCAGGGACCTTTCAGTCTCAGAAAAGTGAATCAAAGAAAACACAAAATACACATTTGATGTGAAAGCTGAAACAACCAGTGCATATATTTTTTTATCATGAAAAAAGTAGCTTTCTTGCAGATTTCTCACAGGCACACAAACTGTTGATATCTTTAATTACCCATCATGCTTAATATCTGTTYCTGTATACCAGGCTTCTTTCTCCCTTTTGTTCCTTTCAGTAACACTAAAGATTATTGCTGTTGAACCTTTTTGCTGGTGTATATTGTTTTACATTGTTAAAATGTCAGTTTTGTCTCACTGGCATAATTTTGTAGTATTAATGTTACTGTTCGGCTACACAACTGTATATTCCCCATGCTGCTGTGAGAGTCACAATTCTTGTTCTTTTATTCCTTTCGTTTCTTGTCACATGAAACATGTGACTTGGATAAAAACCTCTATCGGCTTTTTAAAAATTTGATTTCTTAACAGGCAGCAAAGTTCTGGTTTAAATAGTTCAGATGAGATAACTTCTAATTTAGACTTTGAGAATTTTWTTACATTACTAGCTAACAATCAGCCCATGAAATACACTGTGTAAGAAAACAACCATTTTACTAGAGTGCTGTATATGGTTTTGATCTCATTAGTAATAGGTGTTTTGAAGGAATCATTGTCTTTTCTAATCAATACTTTTGATAGAAGCTTTTAGCCAGCAGAAATCTACCATCTACTTCTGTTACTCTATTCCCTTGCTTGTATTTTCAAGTTAAATTTCATTTTCTGCACAGTGCATCAAGATGTGTAACCAGAACTTGATYTTGTTTGAAGGTTGTGTCTGTGTTTGGTTCCATGCTGTACTTTATTATAACTTCTTTCTTCAGAGACTGTTCTTACTCCACAAATACTCTTTAGTGTTAAAGTGTAAGAAGACATTGTCCTTATATTCCTTAACTAATGGGTTATTAATAAAATGTTTAAAAAAAAAAAGTGGAATTTGTCTCACAATTCAGTGTGTTACAGCTGTTCCAGGCTGTACCTTCCTGGCAGAAGCACTAGTGGGAGCAGATTCATGCTCCCAGCAGTAGTGGGAGCAGATTCATGCTCACACCAGTTCAGTGAAGGTTGTGAAAGCGAGATGATAGTGGGTACCTGGTTCCTTAGGAATTCTTCTGGAATTTGAGACATGAGCAGAGGTTGGATTCATTAGGCATTTCTGGATGCTTGCTCATTTCTCAGTTTTGAACTGATTGCTGTAAGAAAAAATATTTGTCCAGTTTCATGCTTTGTCTTGCTGGGGAATTTTTTAATGGGAAGAATAAGGCGAATCATCTAGCAAATGAGTGGTGAGACTTTTCTTGGATGGCACACTGGGCTGAGCACTCGGTGGCTTGTGTCCAGCAGCACTGGTGGGAGGATACCTGCCAGTGCCCAAGGACACACTATTAACCTCCTGTGCATCCCTCTTTTTTCCTGGGATGCATTCCCTACTTCAGTAGATAGTTTCCGTTATTACTTTATGCTGCCACGACTAYAGAGCCATAAAATCTCATTTTATCTGCATTACAGAGGTAATAAATCTGCACTTAGCACAGTGTTCTSTGATAGTGGTTAAAGGGAACTCTGTCAGACTGTGTAACTCTGATGAGTCTTTCTCGTAATGATAGGTAACCCCGCAAATGAGCAAGGAAGGACCTTGGAGGAGGGGGGATGATGGGTGACTGCAAATCACTCTTCCAGGTCCCAGTTTACAGCATGAGATACTGGTTGGAGGCTGCTGAGAGGAGACACGGTGGAATGGAATGAGTGACAGAGATGGATGGACACAGCAGTTACAGGAGAGAAGTGAAGAGCAAAATGTCTGGTTCTGTTGCTTTCTCTTYCCAGTCTTTATCACCCCAGTACACTGTGCAAGGATGCAGCTGGAAATGGCACTGCAGTGGTCCCGGGTTCCTCGTGGTCTCAGGTAATTTGGTGAGTTACAATTGCCCAGTGCAGCAATGGGCAATTGTAACACATGGCCCCACTCAGCCCTCTGGGACAGGCACAGCACGGGGCAGTGGGCTGTGTGATGCAGTGAGGTGCCCAGGGTTGCTCTGCAGATCCTCAACAGGCACCCAGAAAAGTTTCTGCTGGGGAAAACAGCTTCCAGAAACAGGTCCTGGGGTTGTCCCACCATTGCTGCCATGGCTCTGCGCTCAGTGCCTCAAAGTGGGTGCCACGATTTTGGCTCCCGCTCCCTTTTGCTTAATGACCACGAAACAGATGCTAAAACCCCGTGTGTACGTATGTAAGGGAAAAGCTCCCAGGCTGTTAGCAGGCAGGGTAACCACAATTACACATAGAATAATAGATGGAGTGGATTCAGACAAGTTAATCTCCCRCTTCATCCACTGAAACTACTAATGGTGTCTTGGGGACCTCAGTTTGCAGTTAATTGGTGTAAATCAGGAGCACAATTGGAGCTGATGGAAATTTGCTGTTCAAGGAGTGAGGGGTGAGTGATGCTCTCTGAGGGCAGCTCTCTTGGAGGATAACCTTGTGGAGAGGGAGGGCAGATGGACAGATCCTGTGSTCCTCAGCAGTAAGGAGGACGGACAGATGGACCCATCGACTGCTCTRCAGGAAAGGGTTTGGAGCCTCAGTTTCGGCTGGACACCATCACTGCCCTAACCCTGCTGCTTTTCCAACGGCTCCGATTTCTGCTCACAGTGTGATAAGCAAATTCCTGCCTCCAGTACAAAGCAACTTTTCTAAGCCCTCATGCTTACAGAGCGTAGAAAAATGAGTGCTCTGAATTCCTGCTCTTAGGTGGATCCAAAAGCCCCAAACCAGTGGCGGGATTTGTCCTAAAAGATCTCATGGCTTTTCACACGAGTCCTATTGTTTGGCAACAGTGGACATACTTATGATTTCTGAATATGCCACCAGTGCTGTCACCAATGCCTTTTGCAAGATGCAGGGATGAACTTGGAAAAACCCTAACCATATACCTGCTTCCCCCAGCCCCTGGGTCCTGCAGCAAAAGCACCCAAAATCATTGGTTCATGGTGAAAACAGCCCTGTAAAGCACATAGTGCTTAATTTCTCTTGGAATTAATTCCCACAAGCCCACAATGGCTTCAAGCATTACAGAAACGCTGATGGGGCCCCATGGCAGGAGCCAGRGAGTCGGAGCAGGAGCACGGCTGGTGCCAAAAGGTCAGGGACAGCGCAGAAATTCAGATGTTACCGAGGTTGGCGGAGCCAGAGCAAATTCTTCCCCAGCTGAAAGCAACCTCGTACTGCTCAGCCCTTTGCTAAACGAAGGAAGCTTTAATGTGGAGCAGATGTAGTGACGTCTTCTCTCCTTGTTAGCCGACTCYGACATGCTCAGGGTGCACCATCCAGGGAAGCCTTGCATTGCTCCTCTTTGCAGAGATTTTTTCACCAGATTTCTGGGAATCATTACAGGGTTTAGTAACTCAGTCCACAGGATCTGGTTTTAGTCTGAAGAAAGAAATTAGTTAGAATCAACTGTTATTTTATTTTAGTTATTTTTTTGCCAAGCAAACACCACAAAACATTGAAACTGTCCTTGCAGAGATGGCTTTTGCTGCTGACAGTGATKATATGAATTATGTTTGTGGAGACCATGGACCAAGGGACAGGGTAGAATCAGTCGGAAGGCACAAAATATTGCATGGGTGCTGGGGCTGAGACCTGTGTAAGGACACGTTATCCTTATTTCATGCCAGGAGGGCAGACAAATTAACCTGCTGCGGCAGGATCTGGGAGCCAACTTATCCCTTCCTGGGTCCTTCCTCACTGAGACCTCTGCGAGGGTGAGTGGGCTGGTTCAACATCTGCATTTACTGAGTCGGCTGTCCCTTTAGGATAGCGTTAAAATCAGGAGCACCCGAAGTGGGACAAGCAAAGCTCTCCTATGTTCCTGCGAGGTTGCCCCAGTGAGAGAAGACAGGTGAGGGAAAGCTTCGTGATGTAACCCTGTAATACACGGAGCTCTGTGAAGGGAGCCCCGAGCAATGAAACTGGTGAGGGGAGATGTGTGAGGGGACTCTGGTGACAGGGATCCAGTGAGGGGAGACACACGAGGGGAGACCTGTGACGGGAGACACCTAAAGGGCGTCCGGTGAGGGGAGACCCGCGGGGCTGCCCTGGAGACAGGAGAGCCGTGAGGGGGCACCGGTGGCAGGGCTTCGGTGTGGGGGAGCCCCGTGAGGGGGCACCGGTGAGAGGAGCCCTGTGAAGGGAGCCCCGGGAAGCGGCACCAGTGAGGGGAGACTCGTGAGGGGGGTCTGAAGAGAGGGCTTCTGTGAGGGGAGAAACGTGAACGGGCTTTCGTCAGGGAGACACATGAGAAGGGAGACCTGTGAGGGCGGACCCGTGAGTGGGTTTTGAGAGGTGCTCTGTGACGGGAGCTCCGTRACGGGAGCCCCGTGAGGGGGCTCTGGGGAAAGCAGACCCCTGAGGGTCCCTGCACACTCCCCGCGGGTCCCGGAGTGGCTCCTCACGGGGCGCCCCCCGGCCCCTCAGCCCGGCCGGCACTGCCGGCGCCCCGGCGAATGCGCAAGATGGCGCAAGGCGCT